CATCTGTTAGTTTAATGCATGATGAAGAAAAGCAGAGAGAAGTAACAAATTTGTATGGGGTAAACAATCGCATATATGTTATATCAAATTTTGTTTTTCTATTCTACCTCTTTTTGGGGTCATGAAAACAAAATTTTGATATAACATATATGTGAGTATTCACCCCATACAAATTTGTTACTTCTCTCTGCTTTTCTTCACCATGCACTAAACGAAGGGAAAAAATTCCATTCTAGATATTACGTAGTAATTTGATGCATGCATGAAGAAGTTTTGTAGTATTATACCAAAACAAGAAAGTAAGAAAGAAAGCATACCTCACATTTCTATGGCACAACTACAAATGCTCCATCCTCTCTACGATGGAAGATAAGCTAGCTCATTATGAACAAGGTACAGAATTCGGAAACAACGCCTTTATATTGTAGGAGGTTATACATCATCAATTAACAAGATCTGGCGTAAACTACTAAAATTTGGTCAGTCTCGCTCGGACGACGAGCGCGATTCATCTGTCTCGCTCGAGCGCCCGCTCGACTCGCCCCATGCCTAATCAAAAGTATCTATCTATTTTTGGCGATCAAAAAAATTGATACCCCTAAAAGAAACCAAGAATAACTAAAACTTTCTTTATCTCATATAAACTTAGGTAACAAATGTTCTTAATCTTAAAGAATGACTACGTTTAAGGAAAATTGGTTAGAAGAATTAAAGTAGAAATTGGTCAACGTGCTTGATTTCCATGCTCTGAAAATAATTCCAGCAATGGCCAGAATACCAAATAACATCACCACTGCGATGATCATCCACCTTCGATGTAGACTAATTAATAGTGCTTTTTGATGAGCTTTTTTGGCATCAATACCGTCAGTGAAAGATTTGTTAGAAATCAAAACTATCTCATGACTCTCCCGTCCGATTAATTGCATATTACGGTTATTATTACCGTGTACGGTTATTTGATGTTGTTTTCTGTTAAATAATGATATATCAATTATCATATTTTCTGTAGTATAATAATATAGTACTATTTGAGAGTTTCATCCATTCTTTCACTTTACAGTGTCCTAAAAAGAGTAGTGACGGCTTTTTCATAACAACTTGATGTCTTTCAATCATGTAATATAAACAGTTACTTCTTTCTATTCGTCTAGACTTTTACATCTGTTTCTTCCTATTTCTATAAGATAAAAAAATTGTTCGGAGTGCCCCGAACATAACCGAACGAATTCGAAGAAGATGATTAGATAGCATATCATTCAATTTTTTCATCTATAACAATAACGAAAAGAGACTGAATACCAAGGGGGAAACAGCTGATTTTTGAGCTTGAAAAATCAGTTTAAATCGAAAATCGGTTAAAATCGCAAAAAATCATTAAAAATCGCTCATGATTTTATCTTTTTTTTCTTTACTTTCACTATGTCTAATTACTATTTTGTACAAATAAAGGAAATTCTGCACTGTTTATGGCAGTCTTTTTACTTGATTTCCCAAACAAATCACAGGAAATCGGAAAAAATCGCTGAAAATCCGTGGAAATCGACGAAAATGGGAAAAATCCCCAAATCAGCTGTTTCTCCCTGCTGAATACACATATCACAGATAATATAGTAATTTAGGCTGACTGAAAAAACAGAATATTGAACCATCTCAGTGAAGTGACAGTAGAGCATTGTTTTCAATTCATCCAAAATCTTGATCTTGATCAAAAAATTGATTTGCTATAACCTTTCTTAGCTTCACTCCGTTCATTTCTTTCTTTCTCATGAATAAACTGTTTTTTGTTTAATATTATTCTTTTGTATATACATTTTGGTCGATAACAAAAGCTAACTAAGAATGTTTGACTAATATGTTTACATTATTCAAAATGAAAAAAAGAACAGCTCAATGTTACACTTTAAAAACAGTCTCTGTTTTAGCGTTTCCAAATAATTTTTTGCAAGAGTGTCAATAATTGCAGCACTCGAATATTCTGTTTTCAAGTTTTAATTTTGAAAATGAATGAAATGAAAGAATGAGATGATTCAAAGGATTAAGTTCAATAAATTGGAAAAAATTAATGTAGTTTGATTCAATATATGTTGTAGGATTTTCATGCATATTTCTGTCCTGTATAGTCGGCACTACGTAATTACTTTACCTCTGAAGTCGTTCCAATTTATCCCATCTACCACCCTCTTCCCAACTACTTTTGGCAAGAGACTTTAACGGTGACCCAGGTAAAAACAGTAACGTACACAAAATCCTTCTTGATACATTTTCTGTGTTTCAGTTAATTTCTGCATTCTCTACCTATACCACACGACATAAATCTCTCCTTGATAATATTGTTTATCCTTTCGACTGGGACGCCCAATAATTTCAAACTGTCGTCTCCGCGACTTTATGAGAAATGCAATTGGTCTAGCCTACTAACGGAGTTATCAAACACCGATCCATCATTTTTTATTACAAAAAGCTGTGATGAAGCGGTAGAACTATGATCCAATCATGTATCTGCGTGTATTGATCACTGTGTTCCTTGGAAAAACATTACAGATAAACCAATTCTCTTTAAACACAGTCGTGGTTATTATGATTTAAGGCGGAAAAGAAATCAAGCTTTTCAGTTAAAAAATGCAGACGGTAAAGTTGAGTTAGTCAGCAGCTGGAAGAAGTGGCATAAGATAAGCAGGCCAAAATAAAGACAAAAATGCCCATTTTAACCAAATTTCTACCTTCTTTACCTCACCTGCAATCTTTTGGGCCGCCATTAATCCGATAAGACAAAGTAGCACTAGTCTACCAGTAACAATTACTAATGGAACTCCGTCTGCCTCAACAGACCAGGAAAAGCGAACCTCTTTAGTCAATATTTTTCATCTTCCAGGATTAGTATTGGCTTTTGATTTGCCTTTGTATCTATGTTTCTTGTCCACATGTTCATAAATATTAATTTCAACGATATACTTGAACGAATATAATTTGAAATGGCTTTTGTATCATTCTTTGATTTCCACTTTTCCATCTCAAGTGGCCATAGCAAGTCATTTTGTATTAATGCAGGTGTTGTTTCCGAATTCTGTATTTGAAATCCCTCAAATAAAGTGATAGATGTCAATTCCATTTTACTTAATTCGTACCATGTTTGACGTAAACGTTGAACTGCTTCAGGCATATTTAATAAGTAAATTTGTGAAAATAATGTTTCCCATTTTAATTCCGTACTTCGACGATGATTTGCATATGGAATACTTTGTAGTTTTCGAATTGTACAGTTAACATTCAAATAGAATAAACATTTTTCTGTTTTCCGTTTATATGACCACAGGATGTGAGCTTGTTGATTTCTACACGTTGTAGATGACGAACAAAATTGCAGATATAAAATTGATTCTTCTTTATTTGTCCATATAAGCGGGGTTTTAGCATTTTCTGGCAGCGGTGTCAATAAGCGCCATTTATTCAAACGGCTATCGAACAATTGGACATGTGGCACCGGTCTATCCCCGACGGGTCCAATACCACCCATTAATAAAATTAAACCTTTATTGAAGACTATTGAAGCGGCATGACTGACAGCGTGAGGTAAATCTGTCAATTTTATCCATCGTGGTAAATTCGTGTTTCTTATATCTAGTTTGAATACACTCGACTATGCAATATATTCTCCCGGACAGTTAACTGATTGATGTCCATTCCATAGTCCTGTATGATTGATGTTTAGAGATGCATGACCATGTTCAAAACTGAACATGTATATCCAGCCATTGATTAGTGCGCTTTAACCGTGATCGCCAGTTTCAGGCATCGATGGCCCATTGAGCCATCCCTCATCTGTCAGATTTAAATTCAATATCCAGTAGTCAAATGCTGGTGTGATACGATCTGGTTTTGTACCACCAAATAAATGCACGAAATCATTAGAAATTATTACTCGTGATGCATATCGAGCTTCGGGTAAATCTGGTAGTTTTATCCATTGCATTGTTTTCAAATTTAAATAGGCGCAAGCATGGGTTGCCGGTCCACAGCCATAGTCCAGCTGTCCACTAAACATGTACAAGCGTTTATTGTACAAAGACAAACCCATGTGCGTACTAGCAAAATGAAGTGGAATTGTAAAGTTCGGTAATTCAACCCACTGGTTTTTCTTAGCTTTTAGATCTGATTTTAGTATTTTACGCCAGATCTTGTTAATTGATGATGTATAACCTCCAACAATATAAAGTTCGTCTGATTGATCAAGTGATTGGGTGACAGTTGCATCAAACATTATATAAGGTATTCTCCAATTCGATGACGAATTATACCATATCGATAATTCTAATAAATCTAAGTTAATATTATTATTGTCCGCTTTATCCAATGCAGCCACTGGTATCCATTTCAAAAGAAAATAGCAGTGAATGTTTTCGGAATAACTTTTCAAAGTTACAAGCAGTGAAAAGTGGCGTCGTTCAGTGTTTACTAATTATTCTGCTCTTTATTTCTCAACAAGCTAGCGATAAGCATTTTTCATCATTCCAAAGGCAGATGTTTCTGAGATATTTCCCAGAAGGTTTACAAAAACTGTGGATCATCTATGTGACTCTTTTTTCATCGATTGCATCTCAATCGCGCACAGAGATCATTTGGTGGTGTACTTGCGTGTGATCACAGTGAGGTGCAGAATCAGTTTTGCGTTTCACTGTGCTGCATTCTCACGCAATTATGCTGTAATGATACGGAGTCAGCATTATGCGTTTCACTATGCCGCACTTTCGCGTTGTAGTGTAGCAGTGCATCGAACAGCTTCGTTTCTTCCTTCCAACGAAATTTTGCTCGAGTCTCGACAGTTTTTCGTTAAAAGGTTATGACCGCTTTAATTTAGTGAAAAACTGTTACGGAATCACGCTTACTGTTGTAAACTTCGCTGGACAGACCACCATAGAAAATCAAACCTTTTATCGGTCCAGTTTCACAGATGAAGGAAGCATAATTGTATCTGATCAGACTTGGCCGAAGAAGAAGCACAGGTTAGAAACAGGTTTTTCATTAAAAACTTATACATGATCAGATACGAGACTGCACAGGACGATGATACGACAGCTGTAAACGGCCGTATACTACAGTTTTTGATGATGGATATTGTAATATACGTCGACGCTGTTTACGACGAAATACGCCGTCATATACGACGGTACGCACTACTTCCACATTTTTCCAGTCACCGTTTTGTTACCTACGACTGATTCCACTATGTTTTACTCCGACTTTTCTTCGAGAACATAGTGCAATCAAATTCAACAGCAAAGCGATATTACACCGAGGATGCTCATAATGGTTATAACATCAACCTTTCATGCATTTCTCACCTCTGTGCAGGTTTATTTTGAGGTCTGTATACAGCAAACATTAAATGAGTCTATACGTTGAGAAAGCCCCTATATTTGGCGCATTTCATCAGAAAGAAGAACCATTTTTGATACCCAAAATGAATGAAAAAAAATTGCAACAATGCGACAGTAAAATAGAAAGAAATTTATATAGCCCTGTTCTCTCACCCACTGCAAGTGCTGTGTACTTGCTCTATAAATTGGTTATTTGTAAATTGGCTTACTAGATACTCAGATACTTTTTAATTCAGATACTACTTGATTCAAATACTCACAATCGTGCTTTTGTGGACTGGATGATAACTGACAGAGATCGTATAACTGAATGATAATAACAGTAGATACCAGAAGATAAATGAATGAACGAATTGAACGACGAACTGAACACTTCATTATTATATAGACCAAATATTAATAAGTATCTATAATCACACAAGAGATTATAAGAAGTACATCAGAAATACGTAGTTTTTGATGCAGACTATGATGATCGTAATAGTTATGTATATAAAATAGTGCTTATACATTATAAATTCGATTCAAGGTGGTTCTGATAACAGTCTGGCAGCTCGTTTTCGCACATGTTAGTCTGTTCTCTTTGAAATATTTCGTGTTCGATACTTGAATTATAATGCTAGTGAAGTAAACTTTGAGTAAAATACCAGAGAGAACGATGCTTCTCACATATCTGTTGGATCGTTATGAAGCAGATAGTGCCAGTATAGTCACGAATCGCACAATGGACAACCTGCGATAAAAATAATGCTAAAAGTATCTCGTTCTGTATACGTGTGTAATGAAGTTTGTACCTGAAAATTATGATGTTCGTCATGCATCGATGTTCATTATAACTAGCAGAAATAAACACGACTACTTTACTAGTCGTTGTATCTTTCTCTGTACTTTTGCCTCCAGGTAGAGAGAAAAGAAATTGTCCAGTTCCTTTATTCGCTACTAGCATTATCGCCATACATAAATCTTTATTGTAACAAGCATTACCAGCCACGAACAGGTAAAATATATTAGTATAGGATAGTGTTACAGGCCTAGGCCTTGCACATAACGTGTAATCATAATCTAAGCGTATATTATTGCATCATGGTTCTTTTCCTTTGTTCTCTGTTTTATCCATAGATATATAAATAGTGTGTGTTTCTCATTTTTAGTAACACTTCTAGACGCCATCGCGTATCGTACATATCGTCACTTGTTATTCGTTTTGTGTTTGTCCATTTTCATCTCTTTTTTAAGTTTTTTAATAAAACGGGATTCAGCTTCCAGCAACAATCTGCTTAATAATAGCTCCAATTTAGTGAGATCATCGTTCATACGATCACAATCCAATTGCCATGTATGGGACAATTGTATGGCAAATATCTTCAGACATTAACATAGTCATAGTCAAAAATATCTGTTACTTATGATAAATTTATTCTTTTAAAAGCAATTTATCTACAACTGCAACAACTTAAACATTAAAAACTATTGTATTATTATCCGCTTAAAAAAAGAATGATATGCGTATTTTTTGAATAACGTGAGAACCCAATATCTTAGAGATGAGCGGCTTTCAGTAATTGAAAGAGCTTGATTTAGGCTATATTTCTATCAGCAAAAACGATTTTCGAAAAGAATTCAAAGAGCGGTTTTGGAAAACCGCTTTGGATTTCGAGAAATAAAAGAACAACATATTGATCTTTTTACATGAGTAGATAGTCCAAAGTGTCTTCTACAAAAGTGGATTCAAGCGAACCCTCAAGAATTCTCTGTTCAACTAAGAGATCGGATTTCTTAGGGCTTCCAGGACATCTGACAGAGAATGTGTTGGGCTACAATACAGTCTACCTTAAAAATTTTAGAATTCATTTTTGGTCGCTCGGTAAGTCTGGTAAGTCCAAAATTTAACAATATTGTTTTAAGTAATTAATTTTTTTCTCAGCCAGATAATTTCGGTAACCCGAGAAAATTCCGAACATACACTTCGAGGTGTCCTCTACAAAGCAGGAAGGCTTCAAGAAAAAATTCAAAACTTGAAAATATCGCTGGTTTTTGGCTCACCGAAGATTTTTTCACCTCACTTACGGCTAGTTTCGCCTGAACCAAGCATTTTAAAGCAAAACTCTGAGTGCAGAAGTTGTTCAGAATAGAATTCTGCAGTCCTCCAAGAGAGCTTTCTTTTAAAATTTTCTAGTTTTGGTTTTTAAATTAAATTTTACGGTTTTTAAAATTTGATATTTTTCAATTTAAAAACCAAAAACAGAAAATTATAAAAAAAGCTCTCATGAGGGACTCCGGAATTCGATTTTGAACAACTTTTGTATTCAGAGTTTTGTTTCAAAATGCTTGCTTCAAGTGAAACTAGCCGTAAGGCTTTTTTCAAAATACATTTAGCTCTAAAATTTCCTGGAGAAGGTGAAAGTTAAATTTCTCCGTCAAACTTTATGGATATCGGTAAAGGGTAACGATTTCAAAATCCAGTCAAATGTATTGTTATATGCCTTTTCACTAAAAGATTTACACGCGTCCATCCGTCGCGTCTTTAAATGCCGGTTCACGGTTAGCTCTTCCAACTGACGTAAGATCAATAATTCCTTGTTTTGCTGTATATGTGCACGAATCATTCGCGTAAGAACAACAGATTAAAATGAAAATGATAAAAGTGATTGATTCATGCTTTGTCAAAAGCTTTGATATACACCCTTTGTGAGAAGAAGTAATGTGTCTTTTCATAAAACAACCATGTCATGAAACAAAACAAGAATTTTGTTTGCTCACATAATCCTTACCTTGATGATACAGAGAGGATGGTTTCGTGACTCATATGTTAGACTGTAAGGAGTTAATGAGCAGGTAGTGTAGGTTTGGACCAGAGAAACAGTTCGACATATCAGAAGGAGTGTTTTTTCTTTTGTTTTATTTTTGGTGAATTTGCAGACGTTGTTGTTTTTGTGTTTTATATGCTGTGGTTGTTGGTGTTGTTGAATGTCGGAGTATTTATGTTATTTTGCACGTATTGTATTATAGGAGACTTTTGGGTTTTATCTCGGTGATCATTTTAACATCATGACTGGTTGTAGCTTGATGAGCACTGTTTTGGGACATTTTTGAGGTTTATAAGCTGTTTCTGGATAGAAAGCAGGTTTGTTAAGTTTTCAAAAAAGTCTTGGTTTGTCAGGTCAAATTTTTTTCTTTTTTCCGACGAATTTTTCTTGGATTCGGATCACTATTTTCCATTTTAGAAACGAGGGAAGCAATATTCCAGAAAACTAATTTTGCCATTCGACAGAGCGCATCCAGTTTTATCTCGAACACGTATCTCCAGAGCTGGCACAGCTTTAATAAAATATGCTAGGGCAAAATATAAAAATTTGAGTTTTCGTGTTGTTCAGATATTCGGTGTTTTTCATTGTAAAAGCGATAGAAATACGAATGTGAAAAAATTATAACATAAATATCATCCAAAATTATCTTCCGAACAGCAATTAGATGTACTTGAAAATGGTACGAAAATTTCTTTATTGTAGAAAAGATATCGCCTTCGAAACGAGCAATAGGTGAGTTTAAGTTAACCGCTGTTAAACTGTTGAATTTGAATAGCTTGAACTCAATCACGTTGGCAGTTCTTCCTACATGATGTTCTTTAAAAATTAAAATTTTTGACGAGAAAAATTTGAATTCTCAAAAGCGTTTCTTTTTATTCGATACTCAAGATTTTCGTCTGTCGCAAACGCTTAGAATCTCTTCGGATAAGTTCAAAAACTCGTTTTAAAACCCAGAAAAAAACAGAACAAACTTGTCTGTATCTGCAGATGAAACGTCACCCGACAATATAAGTACTATGGATACTATATTATCGTAACTTTCTGGCTTCGATTGTCGCGCATTACGTCGTCAACAAAGAAATGTATGTATAGTTGAACTGTTTTATTCTAACTTTTCTTTCATATAAATTGACGTCATACATATGGGTGAGATACTTGTAGTTTAGGTCTTTAGAAAGACCAGCAACCAGTTCTCTTCATGAGTTCTCACAAATCTGGGAACTGGAACCGCCATACTTTCAGTTTCGCTATCAGTTTCAGGAAAGAATGCGGTGCACCTTCATCTTATCGCATTCCTCTTTTCTTATCATTTATGGACGGACGTGTTTTCTAACCACTGAGTGTAGTAGCCATTTTTATTTGCAAATAATTTAAACTGCAATTATTTAATGTCATGGGTGATCGTCGTCTTAACATTGGTTATAAGCGAAACTTAACATCGTCGAAATCTCCTGCCCCTACATTACAGGTAAATTCTGATATGGATACTATTACAAATATATTAAAATCTCAAGAATTCGTATCGAAAATTGTTACAGCTGTGATATCTCAAGATTCATTAATTAGCTCAATTGTTCAAAATGTACTCAGTAGTAATCCTTTCCAACAGATGATAAATGAAATCATTAGACAAAAGATAGCTCCACTGGAAACACGTATGCAACAGCTAGAAGAAATGGTTCAAGATCTACAAGAAAGAAATGACTATCTCAACTATAAAACAAATGATTTAGAACAATATCAACGGAGATGTGCATTTCGTATTTATGGAATAGCTGAAAACAAAGACGAAGATACAAATGCTATTGTCAAAGATATAGGTAAAGTAATGGGTGTGAAAGTTGAAGACAATGATATTTATGCATGCCACCGATTA